CTCTTTGCTTTCACGCAGTGAGGCTCAACATGTTGGAGCTTTGAGGGGCTCCTTTGGGGCCACAGGGCTGCTTTTCCTCTGGATTTATGGGGCTGATGTGCAGCGTTCCTGGGGGGGTCTGACAACATCAAGTGCTTCCTTATTCCTTGTCCATGAGGACCTGAGTGACAGGACAAGGGAGAATGGGTTCCCAGTGCCAGAGGGCAGGGATGAATGGGATATGGGGAAGGAATTCCCAGCTGGGAGGGTGGGGAGGCCCTGGCACAGGTTGCCCAGAGCATCTGTGGCTGCCCCTGGATCCCTGGAAGTGTCCAAGGCCAGGTTGGACGGGGCTTGGAGCAACCTGGGCTGGTGGAAGGTGTCCCTGCCCATGGCAGGGTGGGACTGGATGGGCTTTAAGGTCCCTCCAACCCAAACCATTCCATAACAGAATTATTACACCTGAAAGAGAGACACAAGGATTGAAAAGCAGAACTTCAGCCACACTTCTGGCTGTTTGCACAAAGGTGGAGTAGAAGTTGTGTATCTTTAGCCCCCATAGCTCCAGAGGAGTTCAGGTTGTTCACACCAGTCCCATCTGATGGTTTGGCCTCCCGGGAGCTGAGCCTTCCTCGGCAGATTTTGCTGGGGTTGGAAAACCACGAGTGAAGTGACTCCCTCTGCAGAGCCCTCACACCCTGCTGGGCTCCAGGGTGCCCCTGGGCCGACTGCCCTCGGAGCTGATCGTTGGGGTGCCCTTGTCATTGCAGAGCTGCCCGAGGACTGCCGGGGGAGGTGGGAGAGCTTCGTGGAGGAGACGCTGACGGAGACGAACCGGAGGAACACGGTGGATTTGGTGAGCACAGAGAGCCTGGGCCCGAGGACTCCTGGACCTCCTTTCACTAGAAAAAGGGATATTCCTGGGGTTTATTCTCACTGTGCTGGTTTTTCTGAAGAATTTCAAGGGCAGAGTATAGAAAATGTGTTCCATAATAGTTCTCCTAGCAGCAGCTGACCCATGTTGGTGAACTCCAATCCATGTTATCCCTCGGGCCAGTTGCTGCCTGGCAGGAGTTTGGTCTTTGAGGGGTTGGAACTGAAATATTGGAGCTTTCTCAGCTTTTCCTTGTGCTCATTCCTTGGTTCTGCCCCCAGGTGAGCACCCACCACCTGCACTCCTCCAGTGAGGATGAGGACATTGAAAGTGCTTTTCCCAATGAACTTACTCTCCAGCAGGTGAGTGGACAACACACCCTTCCCTATTCCCAAGAAACTTGCTGCTCTGGCTTGCCTTAGGAGGAAGCCAGAAGTACCCTCTGGATGTCTGTGGTGGGTTTCACTTGCACCACTGGGGGAAAACAACCCAGTGAAGCCAACAAGTGATTCCCTCTGGAAATTCCTGCCTCTCTTTGGGAGGAGCTGGGAGCAGGTGGGAGAGTTGTCAGCCCAGGCCTCCCAGCAGTGTGTGTGATCCTGCTTTGGGAAGGGTCTGTCCCTTTTTGGTGCTACTGATGCTTTGGTAGGGCAGGTTTTTCCCCCAGCTCAGGCAGTGTCCTGGGATGTCTCAGGACACCCTGGTGATGCTGGGCTGGGTCCCTCTCCAGGCCTTCTCCGAGTACCAGATCCAGCAGATGACGGCCAACTTCGTGGATCAGTTCGGCTTCAACGACGAGGAGTTCGCAGACCAGGACGACAACATCAAGTGAGTTTGTAGCTCTGGGCATTTGAGCCTCTTTGCATCTCCCCTTCCTTCTGGTTCAGGGTTTAAAATGGGCTCCTCCTCCCTCCTGGGGTTTGAAAGGAGCAGGGGAGGGATCAGTGGCTGGGAAAACACGGAGCCGTTTTTGTGGGAGCCCAGCCCTGATCTCCAAAGGCAGTTGTAGAACAGAGGAAAAGTATTTCTTCATTTTAAAGAGGAATGTTTTAAATAAAACAGGCAATTATTAACTAGCCCTGCTCTAGGAGAAGTTTAATTGCAGAGAAAGCAAAGCATTAGAGTGAATTCTGGGCAATTAAACACATATTGTCCAAGGAATTAAATCCTTATTGAAATTAGGAATGGAAGAGTCGTGGTTTGATGGAGTCCGTGGAAAAATGAGCCATTTTCTCCCTTCTGAGAAAGGGAACAGAGATAAGGAGGAGCAAGGGCAGCTCAGAGGAGGCAGGAGAGGGGGATTTAATGTTACACAACTTGCTGAGTTCAGAGCTCAGAATTTGCTGCTTTTATAGAACTACTTTAATCCCATTAAAACTGCAGCTCATCTTCTCTCCTTAAAGATGTACCTGGGACTGTGATTATCCCACTTGGCCATAATGGTTCTGAAACTGGAACCATTTAGTTCTGGGCACAGAAGTGCTCCAGGGGATCCCAATGTTCTGCTCCTCAGCTTTGCCCCTTCACTTCAGCTGCTGGAGGGTTTGTCTCCATCACAGGAATTCTTTGGGATCCCAGGTGACAGGGAAGTGTGGCAACACCTCTGTCCTTCCTCCAAGGTTCTTCCTGAGCCTTGTAGATGTCAGAACTTTAATAAGGCCAGAAAGTTCCAGACTGAATCAGAGTTTAATTGAACAGAAATTACTTCGTTCTACACACTGAAAAGAATAAACAGATTTTTCACTTGTGTCAGCAGCAAATGTGACCCCGTGTGTGTGTAGGTGCAGGGGAGGAGTTAAATTCCGTGAGGAGCTGCCAAAAGTGCCTCATGACCATTGTAAAATGAACACCAGGCTGAAAAAAGTCTGTGACTGGGATTTTATCACTTTATTTGTGGTTGGAAAAGGAGAATGTACTACAAAACACGGAATATTGTGAGAGTGGTGCTCCCTGGCAGCTGTTGGACACTGTGGGAGATGTGAATTGGAGTAGTTAACAAATGTTAATAATGTCTCAGTGTCCTGGGGATTTGCAGGACGGTATTTTAAACTGAACAGTCTTTAAAGAAAATGCCACTGTCCAAAGGTAGAGCTGCATGAACAGGGTGGATAAACTCTGCCTGGCCCCAGCTCTCTGGGAATGTGGAGGTTTTGGGCTGCAGCTCCCTCTGCTGTTCTCCCAACAGGCTCCTCTGGGACCACACAGGAAACTGGGTCATTTTAGGGTTTTTGCAGCACAGTGACACACCAGGGCTGTGAGCCACTCACACACTGAGATTTCCAGAATTCCAGAATCACTGGGGTTGGAAAAGCCCTCCCAGATCAGAAGGTCCCCCCTGAGCCTCCTTTGCTCCAGGATGAGCCCCCCCAGCTCCCTCAGCCCCTCCTGCTGCTCCAGACCCTTCCCAGCTCCCTTCCCTTCCCTGCACACGCTCCAGCCCCTCCAGGTCTCTCCTGTCTGGGGGCCCAGAACTGCCCCTGGGATTCCAGGGGGGCCTCCCCAGTGCCATCAGTGCCATCTCTGAGTCTGTGTCATGCAGCCCCATGGAACTCCTGGGGGAACATAGGACTGGAATTCCAGAGCAGCTGACTGCAGCTCCTTCTCTTTTTCATAAATGATGAGTTTATTTAAATTTTTTCCAATGGGATTGGGATCAGCTGGAGGGATCTGGGGGAAGCAGAGCTGGCTGTGGTGTGTTCCCCAGGCACCACGGGAGTTCAGAACAGCCCGGCCCTGCTGGGGGCCAAGAGCCCCAAAACCCCACAGCAAGGAGCTCATGGCAAAGGCTGCTCCCTCAGGGATTGAATCAGCCCCAGGAGGGGAAATCTGACCCGTGGAGTCCTGGAGTGGGTTGGGTTGGGAGGGATTAGCCCCTCCAGTTCCACCCCCTGCCATGGACAGGGAATGTTCCGGGCTGAACTGACCCTTCATCTCAAGGAGAGGAGACCATGGCACGGGTACAGGAGTGGCTGCTCAGGGAACAGACACCTGGAGGGGCTCTGGGGCTGGGTGGTGCTGGGGATGCCCAGGTTCCTCTGTGCCATCCCTGAAGGCTCTTTCCCTCCTCCGGGCAGCGCTCCCTTCGACAGGATCGCGGAGATCAACTTCAACATCGACGCCGACGACGACAGCGTGAGTGGGGCCTGGGGGCTGTTTAACCTGCCAGGGGCCTGCTTTCATTTGGAAAGAACAAACGTTTGGTGGGGTTTTTGGTCAGTGCAGAGGTGTCCCCCTGGGACAGTTAAGGAACTGGGGGCACTGCAAATAGCCCGGAGCGTCTCCCCCAGAAATATTTCCTCAGAAATTCCACTCCTGGCATTTAAGGAATTTTTCTCCCTCTCTGCAGTGTCAATCTGTTGTCCTTAGAAGCACAGAATCATGGAATGGTTTGGGTGGGAAAAGGACCTTAAAGCCTGTCCAGTGCCACCCCTGCCATGGGCAGGGACACCTTCCACTGGCCCAGGTTGCTCCAACCTGGCCTTGGACACTTCCAGGGATCCAGGGGCAGCCACAGATGCTCTGGGCAACCTGGGCCAGGGCCTCCCCACCCTCCCAGCTGGGAATTCCTTCCCAATATCCCATCTCTCCCTGCCCTCTGGCACTGGGAAGCCATTCCCTGTGTCCTGTCCCTCCCTCCCTTGTCCCCAGTCCCTCTCCAGCTCTCCTGGAGCCCCTTTAGGCCCTGCAAGGGGCTCCAAGGTCTCCCTGGAGCCTTCTCTTCTCCAGGGGAACAATCCCAATTCTCCCAGCCTTTGATAATCTTTCCAGACACAGGTTAGGGAAGCATGGAGAGAGCTGGATTTCTTATGGATCTAGATATTGCTGGGCTGTGTCTGGTCTTTCCCGTTGAATTGCCCCAAAGCAAAGCAGCAGCTGGACAGTGGTGATTCCCCCCAGGGGATCCCACACTCAGCTCCTGAGCAAAGCTTGGTTGGGCCAATACTCAGACTTTGGTTTCCTCAGTCTTTCCCAAGGAATGACTGGGATTTGGTTTCTCCTCCCTGTCCCTCAGCCCAATGCCTCCCTGTTTGAAGCCTGTTGCAACGAGCGGATCCAGCAGTTCGACGACAACGAGGAGGAGGAGGACATCTGGGAGGAGAAGGAGATCACCTATGCAACCCAGGTCAAATCAAGAACACGGTAAGGTGAACACAGAGCACTCATTTCTCCCCCTGAATGCTGGGAAGCTGCACATTTCAGTCAAGGCTGAGCTTAGGTGTTTGGTATTTATGTTATTGAGGGGCCCTGAGGTTTTTGTCTGACAGCCCTGAGGACTCCCCGTGCCACATGTGCTGGGGGCTTGTCTTGGATGTGCAACAGAGATCCAGTGTAAGGGAATTCAGTAACAGTGGAAAAACCCGGGGACTGAGTCTGTCATGGTGTAAAATCAAATGTATTAAAAAATCTCCACCCTTAGTGTGAAATACTTAGAACTTACTCCTTCATCTTTGGGGAGGAGGAGGAGGAGTTAAAACTGAGGGGAGCAGACAGAACTTTTTCAGAATATTAAGAAAAAAAGGTGATGTTTTTCATGGAAACAAGGGACCTCCCAGGGGCATCTCTGGCTCTGCAAATCCTTCTTCATCCCTTTGATGGAACCAGTTATTGAATAAAGTCACTTCTCTAATTCTGTATCTGGAAATATGATCAAGGGGGACAGGAAAAACCACCAAGAGCTCAGTGTTTCCTTGCCAAGCACCAGCACCCCGATGGTTCTGCTCACACACAGGGTCCATTCCACACCAGTGTGCTCCTCTTTGCCACTGGTTTGTGTGGTCCCACCAGGCTCCAGCCCTGGGTCTGTCCCTGCAGCACATTCCTGCCTCTGCAGATGAGTCTGGACTGGCAGAGCTCTCGGGGCTGTCACTGGACGGATCTCCCAGATTCCTGCCTGGCTGTGCATTCGGGGGGAAATAACCCTGGAGAAGGCACTGGGCTGTGTCCCTGGAGCAGGGAGAGGGCAGCTGAGGGCTGGGGGAGCTGGAGTCCTGCTCACCTGGGCTCTGTGGGGCAGGTTTGGAGCGTCACAGACCTCGGAGGGCTCGTCCAAGAGCGACCTGGAGAACGGAGACCACGATGGGAGCGTGGACTCGGAGGAGGAGGAGGAGCCCGAGCAGCAGCCACCTCCCCCCTCAGCAAACAACCCCAAGAGCAGCATTTCTGAGCAGAAGGAGTCCTCTGACACCTCTGAAGGTAAAGGGTGCACAGCAGGGTGTGTGCTGGGGGGAGATCAGCAGCACTTTGCACAGTGCCAGGTTCCTGTGCAGAGTCCACGATTCCACCTGTGCACAGAGAAATGGGAATTTCAGGGTCTATTTCTGCCTCTGAGCTATCTGGAGTCCTACCCAGCTCCTTCAGAACAGCAGCTGTGCTCAGGCAGCCACGGGCACAAGGATAATCCCAGGGGAAGGTGTCCCTGCCCATGGCAGGGTGTTGGAATGAGATGGTTTTGAAGGTCCTTTCCAACCAAAGCACTCCATGATTCTGTGACTCCGTGAATCCCAACTGTTTTAGTGCAAATCCTGATCAAAGCATCACTGGAGGATTAGGACATGAACCCCTCACATCACATGATGAGGGTTCTGTGCAGACCTTTGCCAAGTGTCTCCACACTCTGGGTCTGTTCTCCTGCTTTTCCAGCTATTTTGCCTGCTGCAAACCCATCCTTCCAGTGCCTGCAGGAACACTGCAGAGGGACAGGATTTTAATGCAATCATGGCATGGTTGGGTGGGAAAGGACCTTAAAGCCCATCCAGTGCCACGGGCAGGGACACCTTCCACCAGCCCAGGTTGAAAGCTCCATCCAACCTGCCCTTGGACACTTCCAGGGATCCAGGGGCAGCCACAGCTTCTCTGGGCAACCTGTGCCAGGGCCTCCCCACCCTCCCAGCCAGCAATTCCTTCCCAGTATCCCATCTGACCCTGCCCTCTGGCAGTGGGAAGCCATTCCCTGTGTCCTGTCCCTCCATCCCTTGTCCCCAGTCCTGTCCATCCTCCTTGTTGACCCCTTCAGGGGTTTTCCCACCTCACCATGTAAACAACGCTGTGGAAGTGCAGGAGACACATGGTGTTGGCAGCAGAGCAAATCCAGGGGTCAGAAACGTTTTCTCAGACTTCCATTTCTCATTTCTCCAAGCATTTTCAATTTTAAAACATTTCTTTTTTGGGGTGGTGCCTTTGTGTTGTAACTGGGAACATCGGGCAGAGCCATCCCAGTTACCTGCTCTCTGCACCCCTCTGGAAGTGTCAGCTGTTTCCAGGTTATTAGGAGGGACCAGATTAAACCAGGCACTCCCAGTGGGTTGTGTGTGACAGCCCTGTCACCCTTCCAGAGCCCTCAGCTGGAATTTGGGCTCAGTTTCTGGGGGGTGCAGCCCTGGGGGGGTCTCCCCTGCTCATTCTGTGACTGCAGAGCAGCTTGCAGAGCTCTGCAATCCTTCCCCTTTCCCAAGAAAAGGTAAGGAAAAACGGTATTTTAAAAGGTGGGATTTGTGGGACTGGAAGCAGAGGGGAGGACTGGAGGTGGCAGTAGGTTCTGGTGAAGAAGGAATAGGCTGGGACTGTAAAAAACAAACTGCCAAGTGACTTCTGGGATCTTGAACATTTTAATCCATTTATCAATTCCTTACCTGTGTGTGCCAGAATTCAGTTAGGGCTGGAATGGCTGAAAGGAGCTGAGGGACCTGGAGTTCAGCTGGGAATCACTCAGGGCTCAGGGCTGAAGGCATCCACAGTGTCGTGTCTCCGTGTCGATGCCTCTCCTGTGGGTCACAGGGATGTTTATCCACAGAGGATTCCCAGGCTGTGTGAGACAGGCGGGTGGGGAAGGAGCATCCTTGGCTGGTGTATCCTGCCTTGTGATCCCTGGATCCCTGGCCCCCTGGCCCCCTGCATCCCGGGCTGCAGAGGTGTTGTTTGTTGTCCCAGGGGCCGGCTGGACGGCGGTGTTCGAGCCCGTGAGCTCCAAGCCCCCCGTGCCCTGCGTGGCCATGGACGTGGGCTCCAGCGTGTGGGACTCGGCCGCCCCGCAGAGCTCCGCGCCCGAGGAGAAGGGCTGGGCCAAGTTCACAGACTTCCAGCCCTTCTGCTGGTAAGAGCCACGGCATCCCAGCTTCCTTGGGGCTTTGGGGTGGAAGAGTATTTGGAATGCATTTCAGTGGGGTGCCTTGGCTGTAAGCCTTTCTTCTTCCCTTCCCCTTCCCGCTGCTTCCCTTTTTATTGTTTAATATTGTCTGATTATCCTGGATCATGCTTCCCACTGCTTCCCAGTGCTCCTCAGTGGTGCTGGCATTCCTGTCTTACTGCACCTCCTGTGCCATTGCTGCTGCTGCTGCACTCGGGGAGTAAAATCAGTAAATTAATAAGGTTTATACGAGTTAAAAATATTTATGGGAGGAAAGGTCGAGGCCTGATGATTCCTTCTGCCGGGGCTGTTTGGAAGCAGTGGGCTCCTGTTCCCCTTCTCAAGGCTCTTCCCCCCCCAGCTCAGAGTCAGGCCCCCGCTGCAGCTCCCCCGTGGACACGGAAAGCGGCGACTCCGACGGGACCCCGAAGCAGGGCCAGGACAAGAACTGTGAGTGAGAGCATGGCTGGGCACACAGGGTGTCACTGAGCTCTTGGGAATCCTGCACTGGGTGTAGGGAGAATGTCCCTGCAGTGTCACCCACCCCGAGGGCTCCTTTTGCACCAGGGTCGGGCTGTCGAGGTAAACTCGGGAATCCTGGGGGTTTGTTGGGACAACATTGTCAGCAAGGAACTGAAGTGAGTTGGAGTTGCCATCAGAGAGACATTTCATTTATCCTGGAAGTGTCCAGGGCCAGGTTGGACAGGGCTTGGAGCAACCTGGGCTAGTGGAAGGTGTCCCTACCCATGGCAGGGGAGGGGACAGGGTGGGCTTTAAAGTCCCTTCGCGCCCAGACCATTCCAGGATTCTATAAACTGGTCAAAAGTCCTGTTTTAACTATGCTTGATTATAAAATCACTTGCCCAGAATTCCAGGGTCAGGGTAGGTCCCTCTGTTGATGGTTGTGCTGAGACATTGAGAGTCCCTGTGACAACCTTCCCTCCTCCCTCCTGAGCAAGGAAAAACTCCATTTGACAAAGGACTTGGGTGGAAGTAAATGAAACCTGTGTGTGTAGCAGCCATGGGAAGGTGGGTGACACTGGGAGGGGGGGAAGCACGGGACTGTCTTCTGCCACATGGGGTTTTTGGGATGCTCTCCCTGTGGAGCTGGAGAGCCCATTCAATAAAGCCCTGCCTGGCTTGCAGAATCCCAGGAAGGTTTGTGTGGGAAGGGACCTTAAAGCCCATCCAGCCCCACCCCTGCCACGGGCAGGGACACCTTCCACCAGCCCAGGTTGCTCCAAGCCCCATCCAACCTGGCCTCGGACACTTCCAGGGATCCAGGGGCAGCCACAGCTTCTCTGGGAAACCTGGACCAGGGCCTCCCCACCCTCCCAGCCAGGAATTCCTTCCCCATATCCCATCTCTCCCTGCCCTCTGGCACTGGGAAGCCATTCCCTGTGTCCTGTCCCTCCAGGCCCTTGTCCAAAGCCCCCCTCCAGTTTTTAGGGTTTGACACCACCCTCCTTGCCTGGGGTCATTCCCAGGGTTGACGTGGGCCCTCCCCTCGCAGTCAGCCCCGGCTCCCCCTGCGTGTGGAACGTGTGTGTGACACGGAAGGCGCCGCTGGTGGCCTCGGACAGCAGCTCCTCGGGCGGCTCCGACAGCGACGACGACGACGACAAGGCCGAGCCTGGCACGGCCCCCGCGGGCACGGCCCAGGGGCAGGAGGGCAACCAGGCCCCCGGGGAGGCCAGGAAGGACACGGCGGTGATCTCCAGGTGGGAAGGGATCTCCAGGTGGGAAGGGATCTCTGGGTGGGAAAGGATCTCCGGGTGGGAAGGGATCTCCGGTGACCTCCAGGTGGGAAGG